CTGCACCATGAAGGACCCCAACAACAAGCAGGTGCCTCCTGACGGCTCGGGCTCCCAGATAGAAAGGTTGGAGATGATGAACAATACCCGATAGGTATGAGATGATCATGCGGATGGATATAGGATTACCGGACCTCCTGGTCTGCTTCACCATGTAACAAATGAAAAAACTGATTGTTTCAGGAGTTGGATCAATGTCATGGTTATGGATGTTACAAAAGGTGATGTACGAATTAATACCGGATTGATATGCTGATCTTGTCGACACATCCAGAGCATTTGACAAATAAATCGCTTGCTGACTACGAAGACAATCCATTGTCCATGGGGCACGCTTGGGCTGATGTGCCCTAACACTCAAGAGTGAATTCATTCCTGGAGGACCCCCAGCGATTCCCGCTGGGGTTTGAATAGAGCAATGTCAAGCCCAGGATGCAAACGTCAGGCAGTATCGAACAGTTGACATGATAAAGCATCTGTGACGGTATTTTTGTCACCCTGGATGTGGACCACTTGCACATCTAATCCAAAGTCCATCATAGTCTCGACCACCTTGAAAAGCAATAACATGTAGTTCAGTTGTGCCGCCAAAGAGTGAAAGATATTGACGGTATTCATCAAATCTGTTCGTAAAAGGATTCGTCACGGTTTATCAGGTAGGTGAGCAGCCCACTCGATCGCTGAGACTACTGCTAAAGCTTCATTGAAAAAGGTGTCCCCAAATCGGAGATCCGACTCCTCGATCGATGCAACAAACGCTAGGTCCAGAGTCAGGGACCAAAAGGCCAGGCCAACATTCAAAGCATTGGTCAAGAAGACTAGATCCATGTCTTGTTCTTGCCATGAACAGGCACCCAAAAAGTTGACTCCCAGCGAACTCACGATCCATTGGATAAACCAAGATAAATCCTGAACAACCAACTTATTCAGCCAAATAGGAGCCAAGGCCAGTTTTTTACCCTGTATCTTAGCATACGAAGATTGAAGTGCGGGTCTTAGGAGGGGGTAAGCATTTAACGCCCAGTTGCAATAGCCTAACAGCCACTGCCATTCCTGCAGTGGATGACAACGAAGTTTCCCAACTAGAAATGATTCCACATCTCTGATCAAAGACCTTTGTTTATTGTTGGGCATCGAAATCATCATTGTCTCAAGGCAAACGTGGAGGCCTATTATAGTAAGCTGTTTTCCAAATTCCTGTTTCCTCTTCTCGTGCAGTATTCCGAGCTCATCAAAAAGTCTGAGTAGTGCGACCTGCTTCCTTGGGTACTGAGCTTCATAAGGAGCATAGAGCTCAAGACTTTCCTGGGCATCGAAAGAAAAAACATCATCAACGTAATGTAGAAGATCAGGTATACTTTTCTCATAAATGGCAATCCAAAGGATGAGCACATAAAATGTGCACCAAATTGCACCTGAAGCATGGTTCCCAAAAACACAACATTGATCAACATGAAATTCGCCATCGATCAACATCACCTGTCTTGTTTGCCATCTAGGATGGCACAGCAGTAGTCTATAAGCTGAACTTGCATCTGACTTAAACAACCATGCTGGCGATCAACCAAAACTTGCATGAAAGGCAAGCAATTGTTTTCCCAAATCTTGGAGATTGTCAGGTCTGAAAGACCCATCTTCCAGGGCAATCGCTGCATTCAAGGAAAAACTACCAGCGGTGTGATTGTTGACAAGATGAAATTTGGCCGATCCCAGCTTAGGTACTGCGAAACAAGGCTGTGTGACCATCCCTGGGAGCAAAGATGAGCCAAATGATGGAGAATAACAACCTAACGACATCTCGACATCACATTGAGTCCTCATAAACGTCTTTTTCCCCTCATCCTTTTCCTCCACTTGATGCAGGTTGTCATGCCCCCTCTTCAATGAAATCAGTAAACCCGGCTGCGCGCAAGGCCAGAAACCTGATCGAAAGCCCAACACCACTGACTCTACCAGCTTGCGATTCGGGTGATGCTGCAATAATTTGTCAAGCCTATCCGGTTTCACAGGCATTACAATCTTGAAAAGATCCGGATTTTCCTCAATCGTTTTGGATACCAAAAAGTGAACAAAGTCATCAACAGGAACAGACAGAAGAGGTTCTTGAAAAAGTGTGGACGTTACGGAAGGAGTGATTGGATCTTCCTTTCCCCAAATAAAACCCCTGAGATATTGCGGGTTTCTTATCACGGCCTTCCATTCCTCAATTCTTTTCTGTCTTTTTGACATCTTTTGTAGGGCAAGCAGACCTTCGGTGTTCTCCCTCACACTTGTCACATACATGTCGGTATCAGCAATTGTAGTGGGGAATGCCTGCATTGAAACGTCTACAAATTTCCCCATCGACTTTACCTTGCTTCCAAAAAGCTCCTTTTGCTCCCTTTCCTCCACTTCCGCCTCCATAGAAGAAAGGGTGGCATGACTCAACGTTGTCAAGGGTAAGTCTTGCATCCTCGGCCAGTCTTTTTCGGAACATGACATCAAAGTCGATAACAGATTGTTCTTTGTAGGGTCCCCCACTCTCGAAAAAGTCACGGATATATTCCTTGTAGGTACATAATTCCCCTTTCCAGGGTGAGTAGATGTATATGACTGCATCCACATATGCGTCAAACGCTGTGATCCATGCCCCTTGTCTGTGGATGGCCTTCTTAGATCCGGCTTGGTCGTAGATAAACTTGAAGGGTCCGGATCCATGTACAACTTCTTCTTTGGGGGCTCTGTCAACTCAGATCGCATGGACCTTATTGAAGTCGACATATTTGTTGAGCAAGACTGCTTCCCAGAGAGACTCCAGGAATCAGGGCTTCTTAAGTTGTCCTTTGAGCCTTCGTAAGGCCTTTTTCTTATGTTCCAGGAAATATTCCCAAATCTTATTGGTTCACATCACCAGGGGAATTCCTGTGATGATCTGACCTTTTGGTGCCAGCGAAGGTAACATCTGCATCGTCTGAGGAATCGGAGGAACTCCTGGATGAGCTCCCTCCTGGTTCATCACCATCAGAGAGGTCAAGACCGGCATCCTGGAAGAAAGTCCATCTCTTCCATCTCTTCCCATCATCCTGACTTGGGGGAATTTCAAGCTTGCACTTCCTGGGTCTTTCGGTGGGGTCTCATCCTTTTCCTTTTCCTTCATCATCAATCTTTGCTCCACCTTTCCCTTTCTCGAGTTGTTCAACGAATGAGAAGATGACTTCCCTTTGGTCGTGTAGATTGAACTGTTCAATAAGTTCAAGTACTTCTCGTTGCGCCTTTTGATAATCTTTGGTTGATGATGCCTCTTTCAGAATTTTCTCAAGTCCGTCTTTGGGTTCTTTATCGAAGATTGATGTAGTCCCCTCTTGATCTTTCTGTTTCTCTGCACTCGGTCCTGCCACTGAGATGCTTTTCGCTGTAGATTCGTCCGTTACACCTGAAAATCCAAGTGCCTCCATAACAGAAGTCTCCCTGGACATGAATTTTTCCCAGATGATTTTAGATGCAAGAAACCTTGGTTTCAATGAGATATAACACGAAAAACAAGGATAACAAGGGACAAGAGGGAGAAGAACAGAGGTTACAAAGAGCAAGGAAACAACTGAAGGTAATGAAACCTAGGAAAAAACCCTGAATAAGCAATCAGGATCCCACCCACCAAGTAACTGAAGGTCACAACACCTTCCCCTCAGCGAGACCGAAAAGCTTACTGGAAACAAGAAGACAAACAAAAAACTTCAACAAAAAACAGCTTGTAGGCCAAAGGGAATAAGACTTAAGAAATAGAAACATCTTCAGCAGAGGTCAAGGTAAAGTGGGCTAGAGCCCAGTAGCATAAGCGGACGAACAACACGTACAGAATTTGTCCGAAGAAATTGATCCAGGAATGCAGCAGCAATTAAGCTGAATCGGCATGACTGCAACCTCAGAAGGCACAGTATGCATAAGGCCAACAGCGGGTATGGCACATAAAATGAAGCATCACTGGGGATTGTGCCAGATGCGAAAGAAAAACAGAGAGTGCATTTTTAGACCAACCACACACAAGTCTAATTTAATCTCGTACCTCCATTAAATAACAATACATTACCTTCAGCTTCCCGCTTATAGGTAATACAATTCAGTTCTTCACGCATATTAGCTGAGACTGAGCGTCCCACTTCTAGTCCAGCTCCGAGGTCAAGTGTCGCTCATCAACAGATTTTCCTCTTTATTCATTCCTTTGTATATATATACACACGGACATCATCCCCAAATCACTACTTATATTCCCGCTTCTATCTTACATCTGTGCTACGAGTGAGCCGCTGGGAACCGGGTTGCCTTATCCGGAACGCTGTTTACAACAATTGAGCTGAGGAAAACTGGAAATGTCCTGACCACCAGCCCAGGGCCCAAAAGTAGTGTTTGTTTCCTTGAACTAGTATACGATATACCGCCGTTGCATAAGTACAAGAAGTTACGTCTTCATGCTGTCCATGAACCCCCCCTGCGCATACCTTTCAACCGGGAATTGCTGGCACCCCCTTGCTTTGCGCGCGAATTCGGGGCTCGGCAACTGCCACATGCACTCGATAACCACAAATCCCGCTGCCCAAATTTCTCTGTCTTGACTTTACAGATGAATTGAATGTATCTAGGTATCCGTAGGTTTTGTTTCTGAAATTAATGCCATCTTTCATGTTTTTCACTGTGATTTCTCACCATACTTATCTCAACAAAGAAGCATATTCAAAACGAAAAAAACCCAAGGTGCACTGGTATGGGTCACCAAGAACACTGCTTTGTAATCATTTGAGTTCTATATATGTTGTGTACAGAGTAAAATGTCCCGCCGTTGCCAGCGTTGCTTGCAATAGACAGTAGGTGAGTGCATCGTGCGATTGCCGACCGCCACATATAAATGAACTTTGAGAGAACAGGCCCTCGGCGAACTCTTAGAGGGAGTGAGCACTAAAAGGGTGAATTCTTCGTCTGAGGATGTTTCCCTCTGAGGGTTGGATATTGCAAGTTACGAAAGGGGATCAGAAGATTGCTACGGTACAATGTCTAAGCAGCATCAGCCAAACCCAGATGGCGGCACCACCGAGGATCGGAAGAGTTAAGTTATCATCTAATGAGCCCAGGTCTGTGTGTAATGGAAATGAGTCAATGCTTGGGGCAGGGAATGAAGTCCGAAACACACTCAGGGCTTCTACCAGACTTGATATTAAACCAACACCAAACCCCAGCATTATCAAGCCTCCCCATCCGCCATTATGAGTTTGACCCCATTGCCACCAGCTCTCCTCAACTCCACGTCCCATCCCATAAGTACATGTGCCCCAGAACACCACCGAAACAAAAAAACCGACCGCTAGCGCGGCTGACGATCCCGCCACAGTTTTCCGCGGAATAAGGGGGATGAATCCAAACACCCTCGGGGGCAGTTTGGATGTCTTTGGGCCATACAGACGGCCAATGGTTGAGGCAGCAGTATCCGCCCACGATAATCTATCGCAATCTGTCAGAGCGCAGTTCCACATTGGCTTCAGGCAAACGTCACTGACATAAGGATCGAAACAACAGCCACATCTCGCGGATAGGCACTGAGGACAGCAATTACTCCGATCAAGTACCATACAACTCCATTTAGCTTCGCCTAGCAAAAAAAAAAACGAATTAGGGAAGATGTTGTATTGAAAAGCCTAAACCATGCCAGCCTTTTCAGACTCTCGCATCAACGAGCCAAGAAATCGCACATAGACCTTTGCAAAATCTTCCGAATAAAATCTCCAAAAATCCGCTGACACGACAATGACCAATGCAGTCCACAGAGTAGCAATGATGCCATTCAAACTCCTGGGTCGACAAAAATAAATAGCGAGGGTCACGAAGCCTGGAAGGATCAGCTGACGCAACCCTTGACGAAGGCAGGTGGAGATGTGGGCAATCCAACATACCAGGAGTGCTGTGGAGCACTTTGCGAGGGACTTCCCAGTCAACAGGAGACAATGGTCGCAGCTCTGGAAACGGCCCTGTCGCCAACGAGTTGGGGAGCCTATTTGAGGGTGCCTTCTGCCTGCTAAGATCGCCGCTCATGAGAGGTAAGCTCAACCTTCAAACCAGCACGTGATTGCCAGCCGTCTGGGCAAAATTTCAAACAAGAATGGCAGCAGTTCTCACTTCACCTATGGAAGTTCCTTTATCTCCTGCTGGCTGGTCGCCTGTGCCGTCGACCTCCAGAACCATCTCCGGTATTCTACTTATTCATTTGCTGCACCGTGTTGGTTCTGATATTCTCATTCCGTATTGAAGTGCCTAAGCCTCGGGTGCTTTTGCCAGTTGGCCATGGGTATTATGCGCATGCTCGGAGAACCGTGCACCGGCGCACACTTGACCAAGATTTGGATGAGCAGGAGGCGGAAAGACTCAAGAATGAGAGCTCGAAAGCCAACGGGCTAGAAATTGAAGATGACCTCGGCGTGGGAGACGAGCCCGAGTCCCGAGACTTACTTGCTCTTGATGCTAAGGAGTGGAAGGTGTCTCAATTATTGCATCTCGATGTAGCGCTTGGACTCACGGCGTTCTGATCCAGCGTCAAGACCATTACGCCGTTCTTGGTCTTTCCAAGTTCCGATATGCAGCGACTCCAGATCAGATTAAGATAGCTCGTGCGCACTATCCACCAACTCACCATTATCCGTCTTGATTGTTATTCTCTATAGATCGCAAGAAAGTGCTGAAGCATCATCCAGACAAGAAAGCGGGGGAGGGTGACTCAGATAATGACCAATTCTTCAAATGCATACAAAAGGCCATGGAGATTCTCAGCAACCCCGAAAAACGGCGCCAATTTGACTCGGTAGATCCATACTATCTCCAATTGGAAGAAGACGTGGACCACAACGAACTTTCGAAACTCTCCAAAACTCCCGAAGGTTTCTTCAAGGCTTTTAGGCCCACCTTCGAACGAGAAGCACACTTCTCAAAGCAAACACCCGTCCCATTGCTTGGCACCCTGGATGATTCCAAGGCTCAGGTCGAGGGATTCTACAACTTCTGGTACAACTTTGACTCTTGGCGGAGCTTCGAGTATCTGGATAAGGAAGTTAATGAAGGAAGTGACAGGTGGGTTTGGATCTCTTTCATTTCATCCTATTGTTGCTGAGTGACGTGTCAAAGTCGTGATGATAAAAGATACACCGAGAAGAAGAACAGGACCGAGCGGGCTCGCCGCAAAAAAGAAGACAATACGCGATTGCGTTCTTTGGTTGATTTAGCTCTAACTCTTGACCCCCGGATCAAACGAATCAAGCTAGAGGAAAAGGAGGCACGCGATCGCAAGAAGAGCAAAGGCAATATCAATCCATTGGCAAGGAAGGAAGATGAGGAGCGTCTGAGGAGAGAGGCTGAGGCTGAGGCGCAAGCGAGTGCAAAAGCGGAGGTGGAGGCCGCGGAGGCCGTGGCTAGAGCCGAGGCTAAAAAGGCGAAGCAAGCGGCTGCAAATGCAGCAAAGAAAGCAAGACGTGTGGAGAGAGCAGCTGCAAATATCATGAATGCTCCACCCACTTCCCGAGACTGAAAAAACACACCTTCATCTTTTCACTACAAAAATTGATTCTTGGAATTGCATTGTGAAGATAGTACAATAAATCAATTACATTTCCATTTCTTTTATCACACCTATTTTTGATGCTGCTACATGCATGCCTTCATCAGCAAATTCCCTTGATTGAAATTGGGCACTTCAAATGGATTTGACTGAAGTGAGCAAACCAACTGATTGACTTGAATAAAGGTTTCTTGATTCATCCACTTTGTAATCAAGCTCTCACTTTGAAGCACCAACATGCTGGGTGTGTCATGTCTGTGTATCCACCAACCTCTATTCACCTCTGTCCACCTCTGTTTCATTCATTATTAACCTTGTCTCTCTTTTATTCCCAATTATTTGTTGCTCATTAGTTTCAGCTGTGTCACCTCATTACTGTTAGATACTGCAGGTTTGGATGGTTCCAGAATGGAATTGGAGACTTAGCAAGGAGGGACCTTGGCCTCTGTCATATCCATCCCCGGCCATCAACTTCCGATCCCTCCGATCCCTCCAGTCTACCTCTGCTCCTTCTTCACTAACCTTGGAGCTCCCGTATTCTGCAATCCCCTCGGTACCCCTCGATGGTCACCACCCCCTCCTTTCAATTTATTACCTACACCTCCCTAAGTACGGAGCCCTGAAGGCTTCCAGACAGCTCTGACGTCCGCTAGCGCACCCCCGCCTCCGCTGGGCAATACACTCACTTGCCCTGCAAAGCCCACCTTCGGGCCTATCCCTCCTTTCCGTTAACCCCGTAACCCGACTCATCGGTAATATTCAATCGGCTAATGTCTAACCCCGTTAGCTCCGCTCCGCTCAGCTCCACCAATTGCAGACCCGCCCTCGTTGTAACTATATATATACTCAACTTGTACATAGGTTACACCTCAGTAATAAAATCGACTAGAGTTTACCCCCTTCAGTTCTGGTTGCCAGTTTAGTAAGTTAGGGCATGGATGTGTTACTTGGCACAGCGCTCCTGGCATAAGTCGCTGAGGCCAAAGCCCTCCGCCATGGAGACATTCCCTCATCTCAACCTGGTCTCTGACAGCCTCAGTGTAAACATGTTATAAGTGTTGAGTTCACGAGATCACTCACAACAGTCAGTTGTTGCCTCACACACCCAGTCCATTAAATGTACAAGAGGAACAAAGGGAGGGAGCGGCATGCCCTGACAGCCACAAGTATGTGGCCTATCTCCCTTACACTCAGCAACTCAAGTGGAGCACTGTGCCATTGCTGGTTGTCCTGGGTTTGGATCAAGCAAGGGGTAAAGTCTCTAGGGGGGAATCAAGTCAATTTCAGACTGAGGTTACAACTTACTAAGTACATTGTATATATAGGAGGGGTCTGGAGTCAAAAGGAGCAAGGGTAGACTGAAGGGGGACAAAGGGAGCTGGTGTCATATCCATACAACTCCGGACCTCCCTCCTGTTTCTGGACCTCCATCTCCTCCTCCAGAACTCCACATCCTCCACCACCACCTCCCCTGTTGGTTGTTAAGAGCCCACTCTACCTCTGGCTCCAACACAACATCTAACACTACCTCCGATCTGACCCTGGTTTACTCCAGGTCCGATCCCAACCTCATACCTTCCAGACCAGAGTTTGTGATGCTCCTTACCTCCGGCTCTGGACTCCTGTACCGGAACACCATCACACCTCCACCTCCAGAACTCTGGTCACATCTCTGCCTCCGGACTTTGACCTCCTCCTCCATCTTATCTCCTTGTATTCCTTATTGCATTTCATTTATTACGTCTAGCCAATATTCCGGACTTTGACTTCTGACTCTGGACCTCCAGAACTTACTCCAGACCCTGCAGTCTCTGTGGTATGGTGTCATTTAATCCTCTTGTTGCCTCTTCCTTATTTAGGCAGCTGCTTCCTTTCCATATTAGTCAGCTGTCATTCCCCACAACCCCCTCCACTCCTTCCCCTCTTGGCCTTGCCCTTTTGGGAAGCACCATAGAGTTCCAACCCTTGACCCTTGGGGTTGTTCCCTCTTCCAGTCCCCCTTTGTCTCCTTCCGGTTCCCTTTGTTCCCTTTGGGTCCTCTAACTCCACTCCTGTATTATTATATATGCACTCTGTACTTAGTTTCCTGTACCCCCAGTCTGAAATCAATGACAATGACAACTGGATTGTCCCCCAAAGAGACTCCCCCTGCTAACCTGAAGTTAAGGACCACCTTAGACAACAAGCAACAGCACAGCGCTCCACTTGAGTCGCTGAGGCCAAGGTCCCTCCATGCTAAGTCTCCGATTCCACTCCGGAGTCGTCTGTACCAGCCCCATTCTAACACATGCTCCTCTAACATCACTGAACACAACTGCAACCCCAGTTTTCAACTGCAATGCCAACAAACTGTCAGGGCATGGGGAATGTTACTGTGGTTCACCATCGGTGACCATTAAGGTTGGCTGTCTCAGTGTAACAGCCTGTTAAGGGCAGGGTTGACAATTGTGGTGAAGTGGGGTTTCAGCTTCAATGACTCGTCTGTGAGCATTGCACCTCATTCTTGATGTGGCCCTGATATTTCAGGGTACAGGGAGTGTGACTGAGTCAGACAAGACACACAGGGGGTACCCTAGTTGATTTTTGGACTAAGGTACGAGGTAGTGTACAACCGGTAGTGTAACAGAATGAATGGGGATTAGTTGCCAGATTTCACAGAGATTGCAGGTGGCTTTAAAAAAACAAACAAAGAACGTGGGAGAAGGATGGCTGTGCATAGCCGTCAAGAAAACAAGAGTAAATAGGGAATGAATGTAGGCCCATTGTGGGCCATGAAAAACATAACAATGATGGGGAAGGGTGATGGGCTCGTCCAGGCAGCATTGGGCAGGGAGTGGAGTGGACAGGGTTGGAGTGGAGGTGGGAGAAGGGGTGGGGAGTGAGCACCTGATCGTGGGAATTGCTGGGTCATGACACAAACTCAGAATACACCTAATCCAATCTAGCCTCTCCCACTGTGCATGCCGTAGGTGGGATAATTGCCCACATGCAGAACCAGCTCAGATACCCATTCACACATTCAGAAAACCCAGTTCCATTTACACAACAACCTGTACAAATTTGGTATCTAAAATACTGTCCTATAATGACCATAAGTTCATCACATGTCACATGAAGATTTTGGATTGAATTGAAAATGAACATGATTGAATTGGTTCAACACCTCCGGCAACTCCCGGAGGCTGTGGGACTGAACTAATGGTCATTATACCA